TTTCTTTGTTTCTCACAGAGTTTTTTTGTCTTGTTTTTATAACTTTTTCTCGCAAATCTTTTCCAATTCTGTCTGTTCGTATAGTATTTCTTTGATTAACTTTTCATTTTTTTCTAATTGAAAGTTTCTTTTTTCTAACTCAAGAACACGTTCTTTATATTGTTTCACTAGTTTCGTCAATCTTATTATCTCATTTTTTACATGTTGGGGTTTGAAAAACAAACAATCCAGATTCTTTTTAATACACCGTTTACAACGTTCATTTCTTTTAACTTTCACACATTTGATTCTAAGATCTCTACAATTTACACAACTTGTGCATTTGGTTTTATGTGTTGGATTCATTCTTAACTTGGTTAATTTTTATTCAACTTTATATTTATAATTGAAAATAGGCTACAAATTACGGAAAATTGGTAAAATTACATTTTTTGAACCAAAATTACAGGAAAATTTAAACAAATTGTTGGAATTTATTTTGATATGTTATTAGCTACGTTTAAAATAAAAACGCATTGCCCGAGTCGAACCACAGGGAGGTTTACATATCACTCGACTCTAAAAAAAACATGAAGAGCCAAGATTTCAGGGGAGATCTGGGTCAGTCCCCAAGCTTTCAGTGACCCGAAAGTAGCAAACCGTTAAAGGTTTCGAGATTTTTACGTCTCGTTCCCATGAAGAGAAGCTACCAAGACCTTTCTTTACGCTCATCCATTTTTAAAAAAGTTTGACTTTTGTAGTTCAGACGCAGCTGCCAAAAGCCTAAATATCAGTGCGTCGAGTCGCATCTCAGCGTTATAAGCCTGAGGATTCAACCGGTGAATCCATGTAGTATGCCCCGAGATGACTAACATTTGAGAGTGCTTTTTTACTCTCTATGGTAGAAAAAAAGCCTAAAACACATCCGTTCCTCGAGACGTTCCTCAAGGTGCATTTAAAATGCAAACACTAAATTTTTCGTTCGCTCTCGAGGTAGAGAGCCTGGTGAAAACTTAATAACGACCAGCTGAAGTGATAGAAATTTTGACCCTTTCGCCCGTGTCGACCAGAGAGACGTGAGTACACTTCACCGTACAGACGGTTATCTTATGCGTCATTTCGCTGCCACACATCGTGTTCATCTCCCTCGCAAGAGACTACGCTTCTCCCTGTTCGGATATTAAGATGCGGGTATTCTCCACCATCTCTCTGATAAAACCACGGACGAAAACGGTGAGAAACGTGAGATTGGGCGCAATCACAGGTATTTGTACCGTGTCGATCGCACAATAAAAACTACTAATTGTAGACTGGTTGATCATCTACAAAAAGAAATTATACTATAATCACATGCATACAATCAGATTACCAATTTTAGATTTATACAACGTAATCATGGAACATGCCAGAAATTTTATATACAAATCATATTTATTTACAAAAAACAAGTATAAATATAATATTATTTATAAAATA